CATGAAAATCATGTTTTTCTTGAAGGATGCAGACTTCTTCCTGTACCACTGCTTGAAGAAGGTGTCTTCCAGGAACTGGCAGTAGGACTGGGAGTTGAGCTTGACTCCATCCTCAACCCAAAAAGGCCCCACAAGCTCATCTTTGATGATACCAGCCCAAACCAGTACTCCACCTCCACCTTGCTGGCGTCTGAGTCGGACTGGAGCTCTCTGCCCTTTACCAATCCAGCCACGGGCCCATCCATCTGGCCCATCAAGACTCACTCTCATTTCATCAGTCCATAAAACCTTAGAAAAATCAGTCTTGAGATATTTCTTGGCCCAGTCTTGACGTTTCAGCTTGTGTGTCTTGTTCAGTGGTGGTCGTCTTTCAGCCTTTCTTACCTTGGCCATGTCTCTGAGTATTGCACACCTTGTGCTTTTGGGCACTCCAGTGATGTTGCAGCTCTGAAATATGGCCAAACTGGTGGCAAGTGGCATCGTGGCAGCTGCACGCTTGACTTTTCTCAGTTCATGGGCAGTTATTTTGCGCCTTGGTTTTTCCACACGCTTCTTGCGACCCTGTTGACTATTTTGAATGAAACGCTTGATTGTTCGATGATCACGCTTCAGAAGCTTTGCAATTTTAAGAGTGCTGCATCCCTCTGCAAGATATCTCACTATTTTTGACTTTTCTGAGCCTGTCAAGTCCTTCTTTTGACCCATTTTGCCAAAGGAAAGGAAGTTGCCTAATAATTATGCACACCTGATATAGGGTGTTGATGTCATTAGACCACACCCCTTCTCATTACAGAGATGCACATCACCTAATATGCTTAATTGGTAGTAGGCTTTCGAGCCTATACAGCTTGGAGTAAGATAACATGCATAAAGAGGATGATGTGGTCAAAATACTCATTTGCCTAATAATTCTGCACTCCCTGTACATCCAAACACACCCCTGCACACAAATGCAAACATTACATACAAACACACCCCTGTATTAAGAAGCTAAAATTACATACAAACACCAACTTTACACAAAAAGGCACACCTGCTCCTATTTACTACAATCCGTTTACTATCTGTCAAAATAGTGTATGTATAGTAGAAAAACTAATTTGCTATAAAAGACACTCTGCTAATTATAAGGTTTGCAGGGGAGGGATATAGAGAGAGTGGTATATAGTCAGCTCTCGGCTTACAACACAGTGCCAAAACAGCAGGATATTGATAGGCTCCTTATTACCAGTGCAGCTGTTGGTATGATCAAACTGCACTGGCAAAGTAGATGGCATAGTTCATAGAAAGAACAGCTGTAATAGAGCTTAAACTGTCAGAATACACTCACTCACAAAGTCAGAGCCTCTGCTTGCAGTGTGGAACAGAATCCGCTCACTTACAGATTCACAGATTTACATCCCTAGCCTGCAGTGTGGAGCAGTATATGTATAGTAGGCAATATTTGTATAAATAAAATGAGACCACACAACCACAGAAAACATTTAATTACTTGTCAATGGGCTTGGCCGTGGTGTTTATTCAAAGCTCAAGGGATTTACAACCATAACTTTGTAAAGCTCAGCACTTTCAAAACTTTTAACTTTATTAACCACCAAATAGCCAGTCAGTCATAACTCACCTGACCGAGTTTTACTTAAAACTTTTGACTTTTTTAAAACCAAATAGCCACAGTCATAACTAACCTGATCGCCTTTTAGTTAAAACCATTTACGACCATATCCTTCCTCAGACCCTGAGGATGACTTTTGCCTCAATGCTTCATAACACCACAACAATACAATTAAATAAAAGTAAAGGGGGAGGGGGCAGAATTAAACTTGTGCTGCTTCTTTTTATACTGTTTCAGTTCCCGCTCTTTTTCTGCTTGCAACTTTCAACCAATCCCATGCCAGCTCCAGCCCCCAAAAACAGCTGTCATCAATTCTGCCCAGATACCTGTTTAACTGACCAACTACCACAAGATGTAAAATTCCTCACATTCAAATCCTAGACAAAACAGATTAACTCCTTCATTGCCACCATACATATATGCCACAGTGCTTAGTGCCTGTGGCTCCTTTTTAGCTCACTTGCAGAGTCCCAGCCCATAGTGTAGAGCTCCCACTTAGCAGACACTGCTGAGGATGTTGCTGCTGGACTCTATTTGCTTCTTCCAAGATCTACCCCTTGTGTTATGCACCAGTGATGGCCGCTGTATAGATGCTAAAATAATCCAAAAGCCAAATTAATTTGGTAATCACACAGTAACTTGTGTAGGTGTGATTTATAGGCACCCATGGCAAATAGAAGAGTTAGATAATCTACTCGTTGAGGAAATAGCTAAAATGACAATGAACGTGAAGTTATCATTATGGGTGACTTTAATCTTCCTGATGTGAATTGGAAAGCCAAAATAGCTGCTTGTGCCAGGAGCACACATATTCTAAACTCCCTACTGGGATTGTCTCTAAAACAAGTCATTGGGGAGCCAACTAAGAGGCCATGCTAAATTATCAGATTTTACTGTAGGTGAAAGTTTAGGATCCAGTGATCATCAATCAGTGTGGTTTAATATAAGAACAGTGACTGAGTCACACCACACAAAAACAAACGTTTTAGACTTTAGAAAAACAGACTTTTCTAAAATTAGAATATATGTAAATGAGTCATTATCAGACTGGAGCAGTTTAAATGGAGTCCAAGAGAAATGGAATTATTTTAAAGCAGCACTGCTGAAGGCAACAGAAAATTGCATTAGGCTTGTCAGTAAAAGCCAAAAATTTAAGAAACCACTGTTGTACTCCGCTGATGTGGCCAAAATAGTAAAAAACTAAAGGTTAGCATTTACTAAAAAAAAACTGAGTGAGGAAGATAGACAGATCTATAAGATTAGGCAGAAAGACGCTAAGCAAGTTATAAGAGCTTCCAAATCACACACACACACAAGAGAAAATAGCACAGTCAGTAAAAAAAAGGTACCAAAACATTTTTTAGATTCATAAATGAGAAAAGGAAAGTAAAACAAGGATTAGTTAGATTAAAAACAAAAGAAGGAAGGCATGTAGAAGAGGATAAAGATCTAGCTGACTGCCTCAATGAATATTTTTGTTCAGTATTTACAGGTGAAAATGAAGGAAAGGGTTAGGATAAAGGACAAAATAAGTCATGTTATATGTGCGTTTACAGAGGAAGAGGTTCTATTTCAACTGTCAATAGTAAAGGCAAATAAGTCAATGGGGCCTGATGGAAAACACCCAAAATTATTAAAAGAGCTTAGTGGTGTACTTGCAAAACCATTAACAGATTTATTTAACCAATCATTGTTAACAGGAGTAGTCCCAGAAGATTGGAAGTTAGCGAATGTTGTGCCCATTTACAAGAAAGGTAATAGGGATGAGTCTGGGACCTATAGGCCAGTAAGCCTTACTTCAGTAGTGGGGAAATTAATGGAAACCATGTTAAAGGATAGAATTGTTGAACATCTACAATCACATGGATTTCAAGATAAGAGACAACATAGGTTATCATGCCAAACTAATCTTAATGTTTTTTTTGATTGGGTAACTAAAATAATAGATTAGGGTAGTGCAGTAGACATTGCTTACAGGCTTTTGACACTGTTGCACATAGAAGGCTTATCAATAAACTGCAATATTTAAGTTTGGATTCCAATATTGTTGAATGGGTAAGGCAGTGGCTGAGTGACAGGCAACAGAGTGTTGTAGTCAATGGAGTATATTTGAAGCATGGTCTGGTCACCAGTGGGGTACCTCAGGGATCTGTACTTGGACCCAATCTCTTTAATATTTTTATTAGTGACTTTGCAGAAGGTCTTGATGGTAAGGTATGTCTTTTTGCTGATGATACTAAGATATGTAACAGGGTTGATGTTCCAGGAGGGATAATCCAAATGGCAAATGATTTAGGTAAACTAGAAAAATGGTCAGAGTTGTGGCAGCTGACATTTAATGTGGATAAGTGCAAGATAATGCATCTTGGACGTAAAAACCCAAGGACAGAGTATAGAATATTTCATAGAGTCCTAACCTTAACATCTGAGGAAATGGAATTTAGCAGTAATTATTTCAGATGACTTAAAGGTAGGCAGACAATGTAATAGAGCAGCAGGAAATGCTAGCATAATGCTTGGTTGTATAGAGAGAGGTATTAGCAATAAAAGAGGGAAGTGCTCATGCCATTGTATAGAACACTGGTGAGACCTCACTTGGAGTATTGTACGCAGTATTGGTGACCGTATCTCCTGAAGGATATTGATACCTTAGAGAGAGTTCACACTGCACTGGAGACTTTTGAAGTTATTACCCCGTGAAGAAGTCCGGTTGGAAACGGACGAAACACATAGGGTTGGGCCACTGTAGTGAGATTGTTTATATTTTTATATTATTTTGTTATGTTATTTTATTCCTGTACTAATAAATAGTTTTAATACTTAAAGTAGTATCCCTTACATTATCTTTACCAAATGGAGGAGGATGGCTGTGCAACACACTTTTTGATATGCCTATATATCATTACAAACTTGTAAGTGTAATTTATTACATCGCAGGATAAAAGCATATCCCATCTACACTTATTTTGGTTCTTTTTACTTTTCTCCTACATGCCCATGCTCCAGGGCCGTCTTTAACGCGGGGCAAACGGGGCAGCTGCCCCGGGCCCAGTTGCTCCTGGGGGCCCAGAGCAGCTGCTCTGTGGGCCCCGCGATTTGCGGCTCCCGCACACTGAGGAGGCTCCCCGGGTGGCCCATGCACTAAGGGCCACCCGGGGAGCATGTGTCAGCAGGGGCCCGATCGGGCGCTGTGGCGCTTAAACAGCGCGACCGGGCCCCTCTTCCGGTTCTGCAGCCGGCTGGGAGGAGTGACATCACTTCCTCCCACCGGAGATAGCCGCGCGGGAGGAGGAAGGCAGGGAGGAGGGGAGTTCAAGAGGAGAACTCCCATCTGCCTCAGCCTGCCACTGGACCAGGGAAACCACCCTCCAGGAAAAGGTAAGAACTTTATGCCAGTATGTCTGTGTGTATGCCAGTATGTCTGCGTGTGTGTGTGTGTGTCAGTATGTCTGTGTGTATGCCAGTATGTCTGTGTGTGTGTGTGTCAGTATGTCTGTGTGTATGCCAGTATGTCTGTGTGTGTGTGTGTCAGTATGTCTGTGTGTATGCCAGTATGTCTGTGTGTGTGTATGTAGGTATGTCTCTGTGTGTGTGTGTGTACGTGTGTGTCAGTATGTCTGCCAGGATATATTTGTGTGTCAGTGTATGTGTGTGTCAGTATGTATCTGTGAATGTTTTAATGTCTGTCTGTGTGTATGTGCCAGTCTGTCTGTGTGTATGTCAGTATGTCTGTGTGTGTGTGTCAGCATGTCTTTGTGTGTCAGTATGTCTGTGTGTGTATGTAAGTATGTGTGTGTATGTGTGTGCCAGTCAGTATGTCTGTCAGTGTATGTGTCTGTGTGTGTATGTATGTATGTCTGTGTGTGTGTGTGTGTGTGTCAGTATGTCTGCCAGGATATATTTGTATGTCAGCGTATGTGTGTGTCAGTATATATCTGTGAATGTTTAATGTCTGTCTGTATCAGCCATTACGTCTGTCTGTGTATATGTCAGTATGCCTGTGTGTGTGTGTGTGTGTATATATGTCAGTATGCCTGTGTGTGTGTGTCAATGTGTCTGTCAGTGTATGTGTCTGTGTGTTTTAGTATATCTGTCAGTGTATCTGTTTGTGTGTGTGTCAGTATATCTGTTAATGTATGTGTCTGTGTATGTATGTATGTCTGTGTGTGTGTCAGTATGTCTGCCAGTATATATTTGTGTGTAGTGACTGTGTGTGTCAGTATGTATCTGTGAATGTTTTAATGTCCGTCTGTGTGTGTATGTGCCAGTACGTCTGTCAGTGTGATTGCGGGTTGGACGTAATTGGGGGGTGAGGCAGTGGCAGGGACAGGGCCCATGGGGCCCAAGAAAATGCATTGCCCAGGGTCCTAATCATATTATAGACGGCCCTGCCATGCTCTCATATCGTCTTCTATTATTGAGATACGCCTACTATCAATATACGTTTGTGAGTGTAACCTGTAATATTGGTTTATTAATGTATATTGACTGTACTACTCTATGAGTTTTTATTTTTTCTTTCCTGTAGATTTTGTATATATATATATATATATATATATATATATATATATATATGGAATCAACACAGTAAAGGAGGAGACTATATTTAAAAGAAGAAAAACTACCTCAACAAGAGGACATAGTCTTAAATTAGAGGCACAAAGGTTTAAAAATAATATCAGGAAGTATTACTTTACTGAGAGGGTAGTGGATGCATGGAATGGCCTTCCAGCTTAAGTGGTAGAGGTTAACACAGTGAAGGAGTTTAAGCTTGCGTGGGATAGGCATAAGGCTATACTAGCTATAAGATAAGGCCAGGGACTAATGAAAGTATTTAGAAAATTGGGCAGACTAGATGGGCCGACTGGTTCTTATCTGCCGTCACATTCTATGTCTCTATGCCTCTAAACAGTAACTCTCACCCTCATGCTATCCTCTAATAATGGCCCCTGAATAGACACCAACAGCATGCCTCTTCTAATGGTCATTTTTTTAGATAACCTAATGGCAACTGAATAGAAGGCATCTGAAATGTATTCCTAAAGTTGAAACATGATATATTTCATAGACATCCTGTTTTTTTATATGAATAGATGCTCTCAACAAAGCCACTAATCAGTGAGAAGGGACCTACAGAACTGTAACCATTACAGAATTAGAAAAACACAGTTTTTTATTATATTATTTTTTGAACTCTCTTAGGTAATATAATTTAATCCTCCCTATAGAAAAACAAGCCTTAACTAGTTGATCATACAAAGCATAGGTCACCAACACACATTTTTTTAAGGTCACAATGATATGAATATTGGTTCATGTTGGACAAGAAGAGAATGTTAAACAGTGAATCAAGCTAATTATTAATGGATATTCAATGGTCATTTGTCTACCACTGCCTTTTTCTTAAACATATTGCAGCAAAGCATAATCCAAGTGTCTTGGCCATACACATAAACATTTGCAAGTGGACAAGAAAAAAAAGTAAGTTTTATTTATTTGTAGAAATAAGTTATAATGTGTAAAGGTGTAAGAGCAATTAAAATTTTGGTTTTGTTTATGTAAGTTCTATTGTGTTTAAGACAAACAGTAACAAAACAGCATTGAATATTTTTATGCCAAATATAATAATACATTGATCATATTGTATGAGTGTTAATACATTGCATTAAAATGAATTGTTCTAATAATGCAACTAATATAGTACTTGATATATACATTACAATGTGTTTTTCTGCAGGTCGGCTGTTGGAATACTCTCTTGGGTCAGACATGCATAATGCCATATGGTTTGTGCTTTTCATTTTGCAGTACCCTAGCAGATGTCAGTCTCAAACATCCAATTCAAATTTGCCTAACTTAATAGGAAGCAGTGAGTTTTTGGACAGATCTGACAGTGTATTCAAAACTCACAAATACTCCTGGGCCAAAGGAAATCAGTCATGCGCTCAACTCCTGGAGGAAAGTCAATCCTACCTTAAAACTCTTCCACCTCTTTCAGACTTGTTTGTCAGACCAGCAATAGGGATGGGTTTGATCCAAGTTGGATGTTTGTCAAAGACTGATAATTTTTATCTGGACATTATTGAGAATGAACATGTTCGGGACATGTTTAGATTGTTATCTGAACAATGGAAGATGTTGAGCCACCCAACTTCTCAATATCTTTCTAATAAAAAACACAAACTGGACATTGAAGCTTTGAGATTTAATTTAGATTCCCTTTCTCCTTTTCCTTTATTTAGAAATGTGAGCCATTGTTCTGGCTTTCGACAAGAGAGGAAAGGTGTGCTGTTAAAAGGTTTTGATTTAGGGAACCACTCTTCCCTGCAGAAGGCTAGAATTTACTGTGATTTGCTTGGACCATCTTGTGCTGGAGTTTTGTTGGACAATTCAGGGCAATTTTATGCTGTAGCCATGAGTGGTAGCTATATTATCCCTCAAATAGGATCTAGTGTGTGGTTTCATCATTGCCCTGTTGCTCACGTAAGACGTCGCTCCACAACATCTGAGTGCCAGAATGAACAGGAAGAACGTATATATAATGTAATGCAATGGGTGCCTGTGGTCAGTGGTTGGTACAATGCTGGTTCTGCTATCTATTATGCTTCAAATGGCTGTGGTGTACAGGCTGAGGATCGGGCAATAGAGGCCTCGTTAGATTTGGGTACGGATGCTCTACTTGCAGCCACTGGAGGCAGTTCTAGTGTTGTTGGCATTGCTGTGAGACCAGCCTTAAAAGCTGGTGTGAAAGCAGCTATACAATATTTTAAACAAAAGCCTGTACCCGACCAACTCTCAAGATAAATCCATTAACGTTTGTTTCTATAATCTTCACTTATGACACTGACAATGTACTCAAATGATTTAAATGCTATGCGGTCACTTGTAATGCAGTGTGTAACAATTTTATCATACTTCAAATAAAAAAAAATCTAAAGTTCTGAAACTTTTGTTGGGGTTATTTACTGAAGTCTAAATTTAATCCTGATGGATAAAACTCTTTGTGACTGAAACCTTTTTGGCACTTTTGCTATGTGTTTGTTCCAATGTAATTGAATGCATTTTTTGTAATTAAATGCATTATCTAAAAGGTCTTTCTTCTGATACCCCATAGTATGTATACATAACACATTTAGCTTTTTGTGGGACACCTATTGTTTTATGGTTAGCATATTCGGTCATTACATCATTATCTGGTTATTTATAACGTTTTATGAGGTCATAACGTTTATCTGATGATTCTCAGCTTAGTAGACTATGGGAAGATGGTGTTGGTTTTGTGTGGATCTTTTCTGAGATTTCATCTTCTCTGGGATCTCTACTAGATAGATACACTTTGAATCAATGCAACCTAGCTTCTTCCACCGCTGTCTTACGTATAATGTTAAATGTCTAAATAAAGCCTGTCAAACCTCCCCCCCCCCCACAATACTAATCATGAAAAAAAAAATAAGAAATATTGCTCAGAACTTCTACACAACTAAAGAATAGGTTCACTCATTAGTCCTGTCCCTCTAAGATGTGTATGCGCGCACCTTTTTTCCTGCAGTGCTGCGTGGCTCCATAATTCTTATTAATGCTCCAGGGAGATGTCAATATATCTCATGAGAGTGAGGTCAAGAATCACAGAGCCATGTGGCATGCCTAGGGGAGAATACTAATCATCAGGCAGAGTCATCATCTATAATCAGGTAATGCCCGCCAAGTAAATATGTGGCATGGATGTTGGCATAATAAAATGTGGCCAATATGGCATGTATGTGAGGATAATAATAGAGCATGCAATAATATTTGTATTATATTAAAACATGGCAATACAGTTTTATTAGCCATGAGAGAGAGAGACTGTGACAAAGTTATCTTGAAAATATTTCAGATTTAGATTTGCACACGTATTCCCTGCACACTTACTTTTGAAACAGGAACAAAATATTTCTGCGTACACACTACTAAATTAGAGGGAACATGGGTCCTGAGTGTTACAATGCCCGATATGTCTAAGATTCCAATTAATTTGTGGAAGTAAAGGAGAAATATGTCTTGCAATGAATTGTGTTTGAGTCCCACACAGTGCTCTCCTCAGTACAAAAATGACCATCTCTACAGCCTCTGAGAGGAAAAGAGCCCATCTGCTTCTTTGCTGTCCAACTGTCTACTTAACAGTTGGACAGCAACTGTCCCCTCCCTTTTGTTACTTTTGTCCCCCACCCGTCGCTCATGAGTGGGGGATGGAGGGAGACAATAGGTGCGGTGTGGGGGGGAACCAGCATGTCCCACCCTTTTGTTATGTTACCCTAGGTCCCCCTTTTAATTGAATAGCCCCCACTTGCGGGGCACAGGTGAAGGCTAGGGGAGGACACTATTTCCTCTCCTGTTCATTATTTTAATAGATGCCCTACCATTGTAGACCTGCACAAGGTGGGGGGGCTTTTAATTTAGAACAGTAAGCAGTCATTGGCTGCTTACTCTTTAGTAGACATGCCCCTACTCGCGGCATAGCGAGTAGGGGCATTCAGGAGATTTCAATCTCCCTTATGCTAATATGGGGGTCATATTGTCCCTCATAGAATGACGGTGAGCATGGTGGGAGTTAGGATGTGCCAGGGAGCACTGCTCCCCGCCGCTTCTATTTTCATTCACATATTATAAGGAGGAAGTTGCAAGCCATTAGCTCCCTCCTTGTAATAAAGTAAATGAATTAATGAAAAGGTCTTCGTTTATTTGAAATTTTTATTCATCTTTCTGACGAATAACTTAACAAAATTCCTGCCCGAATGCCCAAGTGTTAAACTGGGCATGCGCAGGAATTTCATAGCATTATCTAGTGTGGGCAGATGACGTATCCCAGAGGGCCCTTATCTGTCCACAGAAAGATGGCGGCACCTAGGACCAGGCATAAAATAAGGTTATTTAAAAAAAGTGAAATGGATGGGGAGGGAGAGGGAGGAGGCTAGGGCGGCCATGACAGTGCCGCTTTGAGTAAAATATAGCTGGCAAAAAAGCAGCTTTGTGATTTTTATAAATGAAATTGTCCTCTTTTTTTCATTTAACAAAAATATATCTGTAAAACAGGTAAAAATTATGAAAAAAGCGCT